GAACCGAACGGAACCGAACCCGAACGGTTCCATATTTATATTTGGACCCGACGGGTCCATTTATTAAATACCCAAAAGTTTTGGGTCGGTTCGGGTATCTTCAGAACCGAACCGAACCGACCCACGGACAGCCCTAGATGAATTTAGGTAGAGCTCAAGACATTGGTGATTCGAGTAGTGACTCGAGTGATGAGGGTGATAAAAAGAAGGGCAGGAGATGTGAGAAGTCTAGTGGCAGACGGTGTTACAGTTGTGGTAAGGCTGGGCACTTTATTATGGACTGTCCCAAGAAGAAGGATAAGCAGAAGGGCAAGATGAGCGACGAGGGAAATGTGGCTATAAGGTCGAGTGATGACTCTAGTGAGGTTTATTGAGAGTAAACTTATTTACTGCATGTGCACCTATTTGTATTCATTTCTGCATGTGTATGATTGCTTAATTTTTTGCATGATTATATGTGCATTTCAATGTATACGTGCATTTGTATGAATTTGAGAGCAATTTAATTACTTGGTGTAATTGTTTGCATGCATAGTGGGTTAAGATAGATTAGCAGTGTGTTACATGTCTTTTGGTGAGATTGAGTATAGAAGCCTATGGGTACAATGGTGGTTTATACCGGGGATGTAGAGTGTGACATTTGGATCACGAGTGAAGAGTTGATCAAATGTTGAAATCTTTTATTTGTGAAGAGATCCTGATCAGGTGGAGTGTGAGAGAAGCACTTCTATCACTTCTATTAGGTGGAGACCCATTATCCACTTAGATTGGGAGAAGTGATTTGGTAATAGAAAATTATCCCAAGAATTTAGGATCTATAGAGGTCTACCAGTTAGACATTGGTTGAGTGATTAGTCTAGTGAGTATGGTGGGCGATGAGGTGAGATACGTGTTCTCGAGAAGTGAGTAACACGGAATGAGATAGGATAAGTGTAGTGAGAATTTATGCATTTGTTGCATATGTGTTGACCGTGTGTTTGATTAACTTGGTGTTAATTTATTATTCTGTGTGAACGTACTTTTTTGAAAATATCTGTATTATCCTATATGATATCTTCATCGCATATTTATTTGCTCTTGATTGATTATTGTAGTTATCTCCTCCTACTTGGGTATTTGTTTGTGATCTTAGTCCTGGTGAGTACATGGAGCAGGTTTGGTATAGGTTTCGGGTTCGAAACACGATGTAATGTTTGTGATTTCAATTTTATTGGTTGCCTTGATTATGCAAGCTTTAACTCTGTGTTTTGATTGCTTGCAAATTGATTGAGTATCAAGGTGGAGATTTTTTAGGTTTTTTAATACCCAATAAATCTCGGTCAATAATGTTAAACAGTTTTGGATTATATTTCATAGGCATCGGCCGATGAGTGAAATAACTATCAACACAATTAATTTATAAGGTCAACCCAAAAACAACTCAGGCAATTGAAAGCAACTTCATTAGTTAATGTTGCTCATGGCCACTATAATTCTTGGATTATCCTTTTAATGTCCTGGCCCATTACTTTGTTTCTTGGCCTAATTGATGATATAACATAACTTATAAATATGCCCATATTGCAGTGAGGAAATGTGTGTGGTTTGTGAATGTGTTGAAGAGAGAACATGTGGCTTCTTTCTTCTCGTTCTTCGTGCTTTGCCTTCTCTCTGCTTTTGTGGCCCCTTTTTGCAAACACCACCATCTTGTGTTCCTTGTGGGTGTATTAGAAGTGGCAACCAAAGAGTTATAATATTAGTTGTGGGTTAGAGTAATTGTTTGATTATGTTTGATATTGGTAAGTTGAACTGAGCCCGGATTTCACCAAATCGAAGGTCCATTCCGCGACAAAACTATTGAAAAAAAAATACACAAGTTTGTTGTGTCCTATAGTGTGAGTGCCAGAACTCTGAGAAATATTTGTTGATTGTAAAAATTGAACAAAAATGTAAAGTGTAGAAGCATAAGAAGGCAAAAACACAAGAATTGTTTTGCCATAAAAGGGTCCGGATGTTCAGTCGTAAGATCTAATCACCCG